TAAACTGGTTAATATTTACTAATTAATTAAGCAGTTAGAAATTGCAAGTAGATAAATAGGTACCACTTCAGTGGGAAGGTAACAGCGTTCCGTGCGCCTTGGTGTTTAGTCATGCCGGCCACATGACCACGGAAACGTCTTCGGACAGCGCTGGCTCTTTGGCTTTGAAACGGAGATGAGCACCGCAACCCTAGAGTCGGATTCGACTGGCTTTCGAGCAAGGGAACCTTTACCTTTACCTTAATACGAGACAAACTTGCATGCAACCAATTCTTGCAATAATTCAGAGGAATTCCAAAAAACATTTTAAAATATATTCCTTCTGTGAAAAGCACATCACACAAAGCCAGTGTGATGTGGTGACTGGAGTGTCGGACAGGTTCAGATCCCTACTCTGCCATGGAAGCTTGCTGGGTGATGGTGGGCCAGTCGCACTCTCTCAAACTAGCCTACTTGCAGGGTTGTGGTGAAGATAAAATGGAGGAGAGGTGAATGCTGTAAGCCTCTTTGGATCCCCATTGGGGAGAAAGGTGAAGTAAAAATGAAGCAAGTAAATTAAAAAAAACCCAAATATTTCAGAATCTATAGGAGGAGCGATTTCAGTTGAGTATTGGTAGAAGCTTCCTAACCATATGAACAGTTTGACAGTGGACCCAGTTACCGTGGGGGTGCAGACTTTCCTCTCCTGTTAGGAATGCTCTAGTGACTGATTTCCTGCATTGCGTGGGAGGTTGGGTTACCTGGCCTGCAAGGCTCCTTTCAACTCCATGATTCTCTTGCGTTCCTAATGGTAGGATTATTTGTATGTCAACAGGAAATCCATGATTGCCAGCTTTCCTTAAATAACTTTACAGCTCTTGTGCGTCTTCTTTCTGTAAAAAATGGTCATATTGTCCACTATATATATTTATTTTCGGCTTGCATGACCAGTAGTCTTAAGCACACGTACACACATTTATGCAATAAAAACAACAAGTAAAACATCAACACTATTTAAAAAGCTCATACATGGACAATAGGGTACGTTATCCCAATATGAGTGTGTTACACTGGCTAAAATCGTCAAACCACATGAGATAATTCTTCCAACTGGTACCCGCTACATCAAATCAGAACAGTTTGAACTTTCCCCACCTTGTTCCTTTTTTTTTGTGCCACCAGGGCCAAAAACATGGCCACTGCTTTGGTGACTGAATCAGCTCTATCAGATAAAAGAACAGAAATTGACCAGGGAAGGGAGGGGAGATTTTCTTTTATCAAAATAGGTATAATATACTTCTGCCTCTCCATCTTCCAGTTGGGGCAAGCTAGCACTATGTGATCCATTGTCTCCACCCTACCTAGGCTACAGTCGCACCGCCGTTCAGAGAACGGGATGCCCTGAAAGCGGCCCAAGACTACATTAGACGGAAACGTATTCAGTCTAGCCAGCGTGAAGGCTCTGCGAAGTGCTGAACTTTTGAGAGTGTAGCAATAAGTAGGAATCACCGACGGTGGTGATATTGTCCACTAATATAACAAGGCAGTTTTTAAAAGAAGCCATTCTCCTACAGATAGCTTTTTATTATCTCTTCCATTTCTTGCAATGACCATTTTCAATTCCCAGCAAAATAATTTCAGATCTCTTATTTCCAACCAGCACTATGTTTTAATTAGGCACCCATTTTCTGATGGCATTTAACAGGACTAAACAGCAGCCTGTTTCTCATTTACACCTAGATATGTAAATTTTCTGAACTTGTGTAGAAGTGGGGGAGATCCAAGGGGGGGGGGGGTCAAATGGAAATGTTGGAAAATATGTTTAATACTTTCTTACCAAACATAAACTTATTTAACTGCTTTAAGATAATAAAATGTATAATCCATAGCTTTGTTAGCTTGTAAAGGTATACTGTTTGGAATATTTATGACATTTAAAAGTGTAAACATCTTTAATTTTGCTTCAACAAACTTACAGATATACCCGATGCTAGCAAAAGAACTGCTAAACCGTGTGGAATCTAAGCACAGTTTTCACTATTTGAGAAGTAGAGAATGTTTACAGTGGAAGCCATACATTTTGAAGTAAACAGGAGAAGGTTTATTATGTGGACTCATAAACAGTCTGTGTCTAGCTCTTATTTAATATATTTTTACGCTGCCCTTCCTCAAAGGAGCTCAAGGAGGCACACATGGTTTTCTTCCCTCCTCCATTTTATTCTTGCAACAGTCCTGTGAGTTGGGGTTGGCTTAGAGGATGTGATTTCTCTAGGAAGTCCCAGTGAGTTTCACAGTGGTGTGGATTTAAACCAGGGTCTCCCAGATCCTAGTCCAACGCTATAACTGCTACAAAAAACTAACTATCTGCAGATTCGGACAGTGAACTTTACATTGGAACCACCATCCTCTTCAAGGGTTGAGTGTGTTCTTGGGAGCATTCTGCATAGGTTGACAGGAGAGCTCAGAAGGCTTGGCCTGCCCTCAATAAGACCTGACTGCACCCTAGAACAGGTCCCAGAACTCTCTGCAACAGGCGCATGTCCTTTGGCCTACATGTCGGTGTTCTTAAGCAGGCAGTTCTATGTGGAAAGAAAATCATTTGAAAGTCGAATAATAATAGTTGGTCTTGTCTCCTTTTGCCATGAGAGGTTTTGCATTCGCTGTATTGTTACAACAGTCTTAGGTGCTGAGGTTTTGAGACTGCTGAGTGAAACTCTTTCCGCGTAGTGTTGCTAGGCCACCACCTGAAGCCTCTGGGAGCTGTGGGGGTGGGGCAAGGGGCAGATGTGATGACACAACGCACTGACATCACATTTGGGCAAAAACCCAGACATCAGTGCATCAGCTGATAACTCTGGAAAAATTATGGTATTACCACAGAGTTTCCATCATGTCAGATGACATCACTTCTGGGTTTTCAGCGGTCTCACAGCATCATTCCCCCCCCCCCCACGGTTCTCCCACTGGCCTGGGTACAAGGACAGATGGGAGGGTCAGACCAGCACGGCTGTTTCCCCACACTAGCTGTTGAGCAGGCTCAGACTTTTTGATCTGGCTTACCCATCCAAATAACTGCTCAGGGACGGGACCTACTGTGGATCAGTGGTAGAGTACCTACCTGCTTTGCATATGGAAGGTCCCAAGTTCCTAGCATCTCCAGTTAAAGGAGCTGAGGCAGCAGATATTGAGAGAAGCCCTTCTCTACCTGAAACCCTGGTGAGAATCAAACCAGATGTTTGTGTTTCTGTAGGTTTGCAACATCTATTCAAACTTAATTATCCAATGTGGGAGTCCAATCTGGAGTGGAACCGCATACATATACTTTTCTCCAATGGGACAAATGCGGCCTGCCTGAAGCCATTTCAGTTTTGGGGGAAAGACACTGGGAGGGAGGTTTATCTGTGATAAGAAAAATCACCTCATGAAGCACTAGCAAAGAGTTCCTCACTGAGCGTGGGAGGTCTGTCCCTTTCTCGCTGTGGGTGGGTGGGGTAGGCTTTCTCCCTCCTTAATTGGAGCCCCTCTGGTTCCTAATTGCCTTTTTTCTTTAATGCTGTAATAACATTCAGAATTACACTAACTGATCCTCCATTGTGTTGTGTGAATGCTTTGAGTGTGAGAAACAGGGTGTGTTGTGTGAGAGCCACTTTCAATCTGTTTTTGTGTGGGGACCTTCTCCCCCTCCCTCCCAACAGATCCAGAACGTTTCTCTTTCTCTCTCTGATTCTATATGGTGACAAGCATGACTTCTTGACCGCTGTAAGTGTGGAAAGGGAATCTGGCCTTTGTCACAGTCATACCTCAGTCATCTTGCCCCCCCCTGTGCAGGAATTGGTGTCCAAGATAATTCCTCCTGGTTCAGTTTGAGGCACTGCTCCTTCAGTTCCTACATTGGCTTCCTTGTCTAGAACAGCTTTTGGTGTTTGGCAGCTGATAGCAGTATAACTCTGGACACGCTCATGTCCTGTGTGCTAAATGCATGGAGGAGCACTCTCTTAGTTCTCTGGATAGCTTTTCTGGAGTAGGATTTATAAACAGACTCTAGCAATGATCTAGGATCTTACTCCCAGGAAAAAAAGATTCAGGTCTAGTAGCTTCACTCACGTTCATGGTATGTGCTCATAAAAACATCATTTTGAAATCACTGTTATCAGCACTGGTCCATAGGCAACTGATAGGTTTGCCAACTCCAGCTTGGGAAATTCCTGGAGATTTAGTGGTAGTACCCGGGGAGGGTGGAGTTTGAGGAGGAGAAGGCGCTCAGCAGGGATGTGAAACCTTAAATTCCTCCATCCAAAGCTGCGATTTCCTTCAGAGGAACTGATTTTTGTAGTTTGGAGATCAGTCGTAATGTTGGGAGGATTCCAGGTTCTACCTAGAGATTGGAAACCCAAGCAAATGAGCATCTAGGGAGGTCAGAGCAGCTGTGTGGGGGTCCGTTTGGAGGTAAAGCTGATTTCAGGCCAAGGTCTGAGCCCAGCAGTCTGTCCAAGCAAAGATACAGGCAGAAGGGTAGAGAAGCAGACAGATTCGGAGGGAGGCGGGGACATACAAGGTTGGCTAATAGGCATATTTAGAGCAAGACTAGCAATTCTGTTGCCACACAAGGACCCAGACCTGACCTGGATATATTTATTGCCAGGCCAGGTTAAGTGGTGTCATTGGACTGCTGCCATAGGTAGTAGGGCCATGATGAGAGCAGGTGAGGCAATATTACCCGTTCCTTTTCTGGCTCACCACACCATACTGGTCCTCAGCTTGGATTCAAGCTGATTCTAACAACATCTGTCAGATCTATCCAATTAAAAGACCATAAACAGTTCTACCTATACAGAAAGAACACAAAGGTAAGTGTTTCCCTGGCAAATAGTGAAACAGCTATGCTCTTATTTTCCCAGAATCCTCCAGTGCTACCGGAAGGAATGCACTTCCAACCATGTGGATTTCTATAATGCAACAGCACAAACTTTTTGTGATATTTACTCCAGCAGTGTAATAACCAAGATGTGTGTCTTCCTCAGGAAAATCGCATCTGGCCATTGTCCAGAAAGTGAACAACGAAGGCGAAGGTGACCCCTTCTATGAGGTGCTGGGCCTGGTGACCCTGGAGGATGTCATTGAGGAGATAATCAAGTCGGAGATCCTGGATGAGTCGGATCTGTACAGTTACGTTCATTCAAAATGCCACTTTCTTAAAAGAAATTATCTATCTAGGAACACCTTGGGCAGTATTAGCCGGTGGCTTCTTTTCCACACACTGCCCTTCAGGCTACCTGAGGAGCTGCGTGGCCCCAGGGAAAAAGCATATCCTGATGCCTCATGGAGCTGTCATTAGGGCCCAAAGACCAAAGGGGCACATTTTTCTTTCATAGCTTGACTTTGGAAAATGAATGGTGGGGGGTAAATTTTAACTCTATACAGGGCTTTTTTTGTAGAAAAAGCCCAGCAGGAACTCATTAGCATAATAGGCCACACCCAACAGCAGGAACTCATTAGCCTATTGGGCCACACCCCTGACAGCACCACTCATTAGCATATTAGGCCGCACCCACATGTTACCAGAAGTGTGGTCATCCAGCCACACCAACCTTTTGCTTCTTATTCTGTTTACCTTGTTTGTTTTCAAAACCCAGAGCTTTTTTTGTAGCAGGAACTTCTTTGCATGTTAGGCCACACACCCCTAATGTAGCCAATCCTAATGAGTTTCTGCTGTTGGGTGTGGCCTATTATGTGAATGAGTTCCTGTTGGGTGTGGCCAACTCAGGAGCCAGCCGGAACTCCGTTCCTGTGCGTTCCTGCCCAAAAATAGCCCTGACTTTATATGTCATTGGTATTTATTTTTCCTGATAGGTACAGTTTGCCTGATTTGCTTGCTGCAAGAAAGGATAGATCTTAGAAACTACCGGTAGTCACAAGGTTATAATCTTCCCACTTGCAAATCAGAACCATGACCTCAAAACAAGGCTTTAATTTAGGTATGGGAAACAGGGCAAACCATTTTAACTGGCTTATATAAGGGCAAAAACAAAAGAGAGATACACAGGGTTAAAATTAGGCCAGTAGTCACTTCCCAAGTCAAGGCATGGCAGAAATGTCTTCCTTTGGGCCTGCTCCTATTCCATGAGTGATAAGGATGCTGTCCTCTTCTGGGGGAAATATACGGTAGTAAATTTGCCCCAGAGCAGTGACTTGCATATTGGAAGTATGCATGAATATATTTCTGTTTTTGGGAGGGGGAGCCATCCCTCCCAAAAATGGTTTTAGTGAGAGGCTGGAGAAAAGGGACCCCACGGGTGCTATTCACATAATTGGAGGCTTCTTCATCTCTGTGATTTATACACACAACATCTCAACAGCAGATACAAACATAGACTCACATGTATTGTCCTTAGATGATGCTGGGCTGTGGGGTCCTGCCCCCCTCAGTGAGATTCCATGGAGGAAAGAAGAAAGTAATGTCCACACATTGCTGGATCCAGGGCCGTCACCAGCCATCTCTTGGATTTTCCTGTGTGTGAGAGGCAGGTTTTGTCTGCTCAACACTTTGCCTATGGAACTCAGTGGAAGCCATTGGGAGCCATGCCGCCATGGGCAGAATTGTAGGAAATGGCTCCCATTTAGAGCAAGACTAGCAAATCTGTTCCCACACAAGGACCCAGACCTGACCAGGATATATTTATTAATATACCCTGTTTCCCCGAAAATAAGACCTACCCCAAAAATAAGCCCTAGCAGGATTTCTATGTGGTATAAGCCCTAGTGTGTCTTCTTGAGAAAAAATAAATATAAGACCATGTCTTATTTTCGGGGAAACACGGTATCTCAGTATATTATCAGGTACTTTCAGGTACAGTCTGGTTTTAGAATCATTAATAGTAGACACTTATCTCATTTCCCCCAAATTTTGTTCTGTAACCTTGAGGACTAGAAACATCTCCAATAAATCTCAATTATGTATCAGAGTTGTGGGCACATGAAAGCATGGAATAAGTGCATCCCCTAACTAGAGTTGTGCCTTGGAAACCTCATAGAACACTCCTCCTTCTAACATACCCCTTTCCTTCCCTGCAGCTGACAACCGCAGCAAGAAGCGAGTGAACAATCAGAAAAACAAGAGGGACTTCTCTGCTTTCAAAGATAATGACACAGAGTCCAAGGTGAAGATCTCCCCTCAGCTTCTCCTGGCTGCTCACCGGTTTCTTTCAACAGGTAAGAGATGCCTTGGAGAATTCCAGGAATTTTAGTATAAGGGAAGATTCCCGAGGACGGCTTGGCCAGCAGAGCATCTTGCAACTGTAGCTTTCTGGACTATCGGAGGCTTCCAAAGAGTTTTGTCAAGGAGGTGTATGATTGTGGAACAGCCAGCTGGCTTTTGCATTGGATATGTGGCACCCATTCAACCTTTTAACTGCCTATTAAGTTATCTCTTAGTGAATGGGGAGCATTATTAAAAGTTTCCAAAGTTCTGATAGCTGAGGCACACTGTTTGTTCTGCATTAAAGATGCACTTCACTCTAGATTTATTTATTGAGTAGATAAGAGTGAGACTCGCTCTGAGGAGCCTGTATACTGTGATTCTATATGAGTCTTCCATTGGTCTGGATGTCCTTCCTGACTAGAAGTAGGAAAGGCTGATGCAGAGATGTGGGAGGCGGCCCAACTAAAGGCAGATACTTTTGTTGCTTTATGCAGCAGGGTCAAGGGCTCGTCCAATCATTAGTGGTGCAGAAATGCTGTTGAATTAGCTGACTGGAAGGAGGCAAAGCTGGAGCAGTAGATCATACAGAGATGCAGAGGGCAACCTCCTGTAAGCAGGCCTTTGAATTATTTAGTTTTTAAATTTCTAGTGACACAGCACACCATTTTGGGAACTGATGATTTAAGTTAATGTGCACTGCTGGCTGACAATGTGATCCTAAACAGAGTTATACCCTTTTAAGTCTATTGAAGTCAGTGGGCTTGAAAAGGAATATCTCTGCTCAGGATTGCACTGTTAATATCAATTTAATGTAGCATCTGCTCATTGGCACTAATGACTCACGTTCTACTGACAATACTGGCCAAATCCGTTTATGCAGTGCACATGTGCACACATGTACACAGGATCCTTTCCCACTGATGTGGCACCCTCCATTCATCTCCCTTTACTATCTTGCCTCAAAATGCATCAGATCTGTCGCCTACAATCTGCCCAAATCAGATTTAAAAGGCTAATAAGAAATCCACAATGAAAGGTCGTTCTCACTGTCTTATTCAGAAATTACAGGGGATTTGTCTTCTGAGTATGCTATCCCTCCATTATCCTGTCTGCTGTGGGTTTGGGGTTGAATGGGGGCTGTTGTGTGCATGATTTCCTCCCCTCCTTTTCCTGTGTCTGTTTCTCACAGCAAAGCCAACAAATAGGGCCCAAGTAATTGCCACATTTCTGGGGAGGGTTATTGCCTCAGGTTGGGTTCCAGCTGTGCTTTAGACCATGTGTGGCAAGATGGCTGCTCTTCAGACTGCTAGGGGAAAGCTTCGTGTTTTCTTTTCCAGTTCTCTCCTTACAAAGCCAGCTTTGAGGGGAAACCCTGATCACTGGAAGAGCTCCACTCTGAGACAAAGAATGAGAGACAGAAAGAGACAGAGAGACAAATGTGCAGGTTATAACACGAGAATTCCAGCACAGAGAGGGAAGGTACAGTGTCTAAAGTCCTGGTCAGCGACTAGTGAGAGTGCAGTATGAGGGATAGCAAATTGAATCCCCCCCCCAAAAAAAAATTAGCCTACAAGCAATTCTGCTTTTCTGTATCTTTTTTTAATTTAAAGCTAATACCTCAGGGGGCAGAGAGTATCCTGGGGGCTAGAATTGACCCAGTGCCCTCCATTAGCCAACATACTCCACTAAGTTGCTCCTGTAGTTGTGTTTGAGTAACGTGAAGAGGGTGGCATGAAAAGAAACCATTGCCAGAGAGGGTGGCTCCTGAGGGACGTGAATGGACACTGCCTCCTCTCACCGCACTTGTTTAGAATGGCTCTGGCCTCTCTGAGATACCAGGTCCCCCTTGAACACGGCTCTTGTGGCCTGACTGCTGAGTCCCAACCGCCTTCTTTTTACAGAGGTGAACCAGTTCACCCCCGGCTTCATTTCTGAGAAGATCCTGCTTCGCCTGCTCAGACACCGTGACGTCATCCAGGATCTGAAGTTTGATGAGGAGAACAAGAAGGCACCTCAGCACTTCCTCTTCACCAGAAACAAGCCGGCCGACTATTTCATCCTCATCCTGCAGGTAGCCCACCCACTCCTCAACCCTTCTGCCAAGAAGGCAGGTTGATCTCATATGGAGGAGCATCAACATTCCCACCAACTATAACTTATGTGTTATCTCTTAAGTGCCTACAAACAGAATCCCAACAAATTGCTGTACAGTAACGAGATTAGTAGAGCCCTGCCTCACAGGGTTATCATGAAGGTGAGCAAGATAAAGTTTTTAAATCACCCTATTGCCGTTGAAAGGGCTGGAGAGCTTCTGGATACTTGGTGAACATATGAGAAATGCTGCCCTTGCTTATCCTTGTCACTCATTCCAAAATGAGAGCCAGTGTGGTATACTGGTTAAAAGTGTCGTTCCAGTCCTCACTCATGCCATGGAAACTCGCTGGGTGACCTTGGGCCGGTCACACTCTCTCATCCTAACCTACCTCAAAGGTTGCTGAGAGGATAAAATGGAGGAGAGGAGAACGATGTAAGCTGCCTTGGGTCTCTGTTGGGGAGAAAGGCTGGGTATAAATGAATTAAATAAAATGCTCCAGGTTAGTGTTCTTTCAAACTTTCTGTAGGGAATAGTTTTCATGGAAGGTTCTAGGGAAGGTGTAGTTCTTGTAGGGCAGTAGCTAGTCATGTCATTCAGCATGAACAGAGTGGGGCCTAAAACAGATCTGATGGTCTCCTGAGCTTGTGTCTTGCAGGGGAGCATCAGTAGTGAAGGAAAGTCTGTCCTTCAGAAACCATCTCCCTGCCTGCTCCATGGAGCCAACCGGGTCCCAGAGCCTAATGTTGTGTCCTCTCTCTCTCTCTCTTTCAGGGTAAAGTGGAAGTGGAGGCTGGCAAGGAGAACATGAAGTTTGAAACAGGTCCCTTCTCCTATTACGGGGTGATGGCCTTGAACCCAGCTGTTACAACAAGTAAGCTGCAGCCTTGTTTTGCTGGGGGAGGGGCCTGGCTGCGAGAGGAGCCACGGAGCAGGCAGGAGTGGGGAGGGAAGCAGCCAGCCTTCCTTCCGAGGCCTTTGTTTCCCTGTGGTGAGCAGCCATTCCTAAATCACAGAGGAGTTCTTGCTGGAGTTCCCTAGGGCAGGGATGGGCAGCCGGCAGCCCAAAGGCCTGTCTGTCCTACAGAGAATTTTCATCTTTCCTCCTCACTGGTTTTGCCCAAAAATAAAATCTTTGCCTGCGATTCACTCAGATGAAAAAGAAAAATGTTTTCAAAGGTTTCCTGGGTATGCTTTGTCTCTAGCTACCCTTTGACGTTCACATTCCTCTTTGGGTGTTGTCTGCAATGTTCTGGCAGGCCTCAGCCCTTGCGCTCCATTAACTGTGAAGCCCTAATCATGAGACTGTGGCACTGCTTTTATGATGGAGCCCAGCCATGCTATGGCAAGATAGGCTTCCAGAATAAATATGCAAGAATACAGACTTTGCTGTATTTCGGGCCAGAGCTGTCCCATGATGCTTTGCTCCTCTAAGCAACTGTTCTTATGATTGCAGTAGTACACGAAGGGTCCCTCTTTATGGCATGGAAGATGTCAGAGGTGGGGAACGACAGTGCTTAGGGAGCCATACAAGATCCTTGAGCTGGACCTTGCCCATCTGTGGGGGTTTTGCCAGAAGTCAGGAGGCCCATTTGGACTGAGGCAGCCTGTCTATGGACTCATAGAGATCAGAAGAAATAAAACAACAGTCTCTGCTCCTTATGCCAAGTCTGTTCTTCTGATCTAGTGTCTCGCAGAGACGTAGATGGGGTGTTTCCCAGGCCTGCTCATTTTGGCTGGAGATGCTGAAGAGTGAACCTGGGGGTGGGGGTTGGGGGGTGGCATATTTGATGTTCTACATCAGGGGATAAGGCAGCTTCTGTGTATTTGTTGGTCACTCTATTCTCCATAGGTCTGCCAACTGCCTGGAGGGGGGATGCCCTGTCTCTTTACCAGATGCTCAGTGGGCTGTTATTTGCCAAGTGATGTTATCTGCCTCCATGCCATGATAAGCTTCGGAATCCCATTTGTACAAATTACGTCTCTCTCTCAAGGAGACAGGAAATTTTTCTCCCAGCCTGTTGGCAATGCAGTAGAATGAAGGTTCTCCAGGCAGTAGACTGAAGGTTTGGGGCCATATTTGGTCCAAACTGGTTCCCTCAGAAATGGCCAAATTCTAGAAATGTCAGCCAGCTTGGGGTATGGGTCAGACTGTTAGCCAATGAAGTGCTGGATTCAAATCTCCCCTGAAGCCCAGTGGGTAAACTTGGGCCAGTCACTTTTTCTTAGCTTTTACCTGTGTTGTTATGAGGGAACAATGGAAGAAGGGAGAGACTCGTGGAGCTCATTATTTATTTAGAATTTTCTATGCTGCCTCTCCTTGGAGGAGAGATGGAATAAAAATGAAAGAGCAGGATGATAAAGCTGGCAGTGAGGGAACCCCAGTTAAGGAGAACACATGATCTGACATTACACATTATTTTCACAGTTTGCATTTGCATGTTGTATGTACACTGTATGAAATCCAAAAGAGATGTTAGCATTAAATTGTGGGATATCTTTGTGTCTTAGTATTTGAAACTACCATTTTTCCTTTTAAAGAAACTGTGGGTAATGTTTTTTTCAAAAATGCATTGATTAAAATTTGGTAAGGCCTCCAAGACACATATCTTTTTCATGGGCTGCCAGTTTGGCCCTTCCTGCCATAAATCAGAGACTTTCTGAATTTGCCTGGGGCATAATCTACTGGTTTTTAGTGCTCATTTCAAGATTGTGTGTTAGAATTGTGCCGTCTTGTGGCCGGTTTTGGAACTTCAGCCTGGGTTACAGAAGGTCAGGCAGCTCCTTTGATCTAAAATTTGCATTGATAATTGCTTTACTGGAAAACCAGTAAGCACTGACATGGTTAAAGCTTTGGACTAGGAGCTGGCAGATCCGGGTTCAAATCCCTTCTCCCCTATAAAGCTTGCTGGATGACCTTAGCCAGTCACACTCTCTCAGCCTAACCTTCCTTACAGCGTGGTTGTGAAGATAAAATAAAGGAAGGAAGAGTCATATGCACGACTCTGAGCTCCCTGGAGGGAAGGGCAAGTGAAAAATACACTAGGGCCCCGATCACACGGCAAAGTTGCCGCGGGAGAGGCACAGATAGTGGGCGGATTATCCGGGCGCGATCACACCCCAACATCTGGGAAGTGGAGCACACCCGTGGCTTACCGCCGACAATGCGCCTTAAAAAACTAGTACCTCCAAGGTACTAGTAAACGTTTGCCACGGGCTGCCTCCAGACGCCCGTGGTGTGATAATGGGGGCGCGCGGCATTCCCCTCCGGTCCCTTGTTTACCTGCCGGTGCCGAGGGAAGGACCCGTGGTGTGCCGCCGGCGCGTCTGATCGCGTAATCGCGGATCAAACTGTGCCGGGGCAATTAGCCACGCCTCCCCCGCGCGATATCCGTCCCGTGTGACCAGGGCCTAGGTATATCAGTACAAATCTCCATGTTTGGCCTTGTGCAGGGGAACTGCCTGGAGGGGTCTGTTCCATCCTTAATGGCACCCAAAAATGGCAGCCTGAAGTATTCGCCTCACTGTGCCCCATAGAAGCACAGAACAGACGGAAAGAAATACGGGATGAACAAAAGGAAGTACATTTTAACTTAGTGAGTGATTAAATTATATAATTCAGGGCCACTGGACGTAGTGTTGGCTAAGATCATGGATGGCTTTCGTATTAGACAGATTCATGATGGATTTATGATCCAGTAGCTACTAGCAGTAGTGACTGAAGGGAACTTCCATGTACAGAGGCAGCAAGCCTCTTCAATACCAGTGGCCTCTGTGCCCTGTTTGTTGGCCCTCCAGGGCAACTGGTTGGCCACTATATAAAACAGGTTGCTGGACTAGATGGACCGTTGGCCTGATCAAGCAGGGCACCTTTTATACTTTTATGGAAAATGCACATAGTGAGATAATCAAGTGATAAGTTGCAGGACATGTTATAAAATGGGGAACAAAGGATGGCTAGAGGACTAGATATAAAATCTTCTGCATGTTACATTTTTTTATTTGGAGACTGATTTGCATCAACAGCCCAGTGGTTGTAACATGGAAGGCCAGTGCCAGTAGTCGAATGTCAGTGCATCTTCCCTGCTCTGCTGCTCTCTCACTGTGTGACCTTGGGCAAGTTGCTTCCTTTCCCACATTGTCAGTTTGCCATATGGAAAGACAGAAGGTGTCAAGATAAAGCCATTATTAATACAAATTTAGGATTTAAGGGAGCTCCCTCCCATGTCTTGTGACGCAGGATTTTAAAAATGACCAGTAGAGGGCACAAGTCTAGCATCTAAGACTGCAGTGAGAAATAACAACAGGTTTGCATTGGCCAGATTTGGAAGCATCCCACGTAGGGCAGAGCTAGTCATCCCAAACTGCATCAGAGAAAGTAGCATTTGTGTGGGTACCATTTCCCACTTCCAGCTGTCCGTTTGAAATCAACCCTAATGATCTTTGCTACACATGTGGGATTGTTTCTTTGTTGAGTTACCCTCATTTTGCACCTGCTTCTCATCGGGTCCTTCATTATATGTGTATTTGTGTCTAGCCCCACCAGCCAAACTTGACCGCCAGTCTATACAGCGAGGGTCCTTGTATTCCAAGGTGTCAGGTAAACCACATGAGTGCATGTCGTGAGAGGTGCACATCTCTAACCAGATTAACCCCTTGCCTGGCCTTCATGCTGCAGCTGGATTGCTTTGATTCAGTACTTTGGCACACATGGCCTTCTGCCAGAGATACAGAACAAGGGGGAAGAGAAACACTAACTTGACATCACTCCGTTTCTTGAAATACGTAAGGAAATTTTCAGCACAGTGGAATCGATCGAGGGGAGGGTTACCCTTGGGCTGGAGAGACGTGCTTTCATCTCTCTGTTCAGCCATGAAACAGTTGCTCCCTCATACCCTCATCTGCTTTTTAGAGGCACTGTGAGGATCAGACGGAGGAAGCTCCCTTGTGTTCACCTCCCTGAGCACCTCAGAGAAGAATAGAAATGTTGTTGATTAATGGTTTATTAAAACCCACTTTTCTTATGCAGTCTGTTTCTGGAACACATAAAAAACCCACCCAAAAATACACCCCATGCTATTGGTGAAGAAGAGTTTGGGCCTTTGCTAATGAGGAGGAACAAAAAAATTGTGGAGAGGGGGGGGAGACACTTGCTTATCAGATGCTGCATCAGTACGTGTGGAATCGTTTCTCGTGCGTTTCCATTGCTTCTCAACAGATTCCACAAGCCCTGAGCATGTGATCCCTCTGTGTTCAGTCGATGCAGAGAGAAGGAGAGCAGGCCCAAGGGTGCAGGCCCTGCCTCTCCATGACTGCCAGCTTGTCTGCATGTTGTGAATAGGCAGAGAGAGCGTCCACGTGGATGCTGCCTCCTTGTGATCAAGAATGCCGGGAAACCAGCGTCCCAATCACAGGGAAGGAGTGGACATGTGGAGAGAAATACTAACTGTTCATTCACATTGTACTGGAGCTGGTGAGGAAGGAGGGGAGCCAGCAGTCTTGTCCCTCTCTGCAAATTGACTGCCTGCATGGAAGGATTGTGTGCTCAGGGCTGCTTGGTTCTGTACCTTTGTGAGCTTTGTTCTGTTGCAATGCTTCTGATGGAAGCCTGATGCCAGACTCCAACAGACAGCATTTGCCTTGAGTACTCACACTCTCAGCTTTAGAAACAGAAGTGATTGGGACATGACTTTTGTTGAGTGATCAGTAACTTCTTGGGCTGGGGTTGAATGATAATCACAATAAAATAACGATTTTATTCTACCCAGAGGAAAACACATCTCCATGATTACTACATAACTTAAACGTGCAAATTGACAAATAGGCGCTTTGTGAGGCTTTAAGGCCGAAAAGCCCATTTGAAATCCTTTAAGTAAAGAAACAAATAGGGATGCCACTGTTTTGCCGATTGGGTGCCAACCTCAAGGGCAGGTGCATGCATTCCTGACACCTGTATGGACGTCAGTGCTAATGGCTGTGGTTTGGACGATGGCCAACTTGGTGGTTTTATTGCAAGACATAATGCTGTGTGTAATTTTGTTCCACATATGCAAACCCACTTCTTAGGACTGTATTGACTGTAAATTATTTCGACAAAATAGGAAATGACTAAAATACTAAGATAATTTTGAAAAATTGGCATCCAAAAGTTGACACCACAAATACCCACAGAAGTCCAAGACCTTACAGATCAGTGCAAGAGGTGAGAGGGCTTACATGACCCATGACAGCCCGGATCGGGGTTACATCTGGATCCAGTATTGCTCCTGGATGTCTTGACGATGGCTGTGGCCAGAAATGCCTTTGACCTACCTAGGCTGATATCTCAACTGCAACCCTTTTTGGAGAAACCTGACTTAGCCATACTGATAAATGCCCCAGTGACTTCCAGGCTGGACTGAATATGCAGGGCTGCCTTTGGGAAATGTTCCTGGAAACTTTTGATTCTGCTTCCTTTGCCTCCAGCACAGCTTCCAGTTCCAGTACCAGTTCAAAATGCTGGTTTTGACCTGTAAAGCCATCAATGGTTTGGGTTCAGGAGATCCAGATATCACCTGTTCCAACCAGTGTTCCCCCTAAGCTTAGTTAGTGTGAGTTAGCTCACAGTTTTTTAGCCTCCGGCTCACACATTTTTGTCTTAGCTCAGGAAGGATGGCTCCAGAGCAAACTAATCTAATGCAGTAGCCAAATTGCTCACTCACCACTTTAATGCCAATAGCTCACAAAGTAGAATTTTTGACCACAAGACTCCACAGCTTATAAGGAACATTGGTTCCAACATGTGCCTGCCAGTAGGCTGCGTACAAGTGGAGAGGCTGTGCTCTGTGTTTTGCAGCCGCCACAGGCCTGGGAGGTGGCCACGTGTCATGAGGCCTTCTTGGTGGTGGTAGAAAAACTCTGGAACTCTCCCCCTGGTATGAACATCTGGCTGTACCCTCTGCTTAATTTGACAATGCCATTGAAGCCATCTTCTTTCTAATTGGCTTGTGGTTGCATTGATAGTCATTTTCCCCTTGCTTTTATTGTGCTGATTGCTCTCAAGGTTTTAATTCCTCTTATTCTTTTGGTGACTACCATGTTTTTTTTATTGTGCATATATTTTAATATATTTTACCTTTTTACAGTAAGCTTTGATTCTTATTCTGGAATATCTGTTTTTTAAAATAGCTTCAATAAAACAGTCACATCTTTCTAAGCCCACTGACTTCAGTGCACTTAGAAAGGGTAACTGTATTGAGAACTGTTCTGCAAAATAAGAACCCTCTTCCCATCTGTTATTATTCGGAGGAGGCGGGGAGGGGGGGGAGGAGGAGGAGGAGGAGATAGGATTTATACCCCGCCCTTCACTTGGAGTCTCAGAGCGGCTTACAAACTCCTTTCCCTTCCCCTCCCCACAACAGACACCCTGTGAGGTGGGGTTACATCAGCAGGTGCAAGTGGAGGAGTGGGGAATCAAACCCGGTTCTCCCAGATTAGAGTCCGCGCACTTAACCACTACACCAAACTGGCTCTCTGCAAAGAGCTTCACTGCTGTGCTTGTGCCCTTGGGAATAGGTCCATATGAAATCAGTAGGACTTCTTTCTGAATAAACATAGTCTGGACAATTAAAAAAAGATCAGCCCACCCAATTTCAAAATATATCCTTTCATCTTTTACAGGGGTCTTGTTGTAGAAAAAGAGCTGCCGGAGCTCATTAGCATAACTCATTAGCATAACTTATTTGCATATGCCACGCCCCCTGACATCACCGGAAGTGACAGAAGGCCACACCCCCTGACATCACCGGAAGTGTGTCAGAAGGCCCGGCTACTTACCCTCCTGCTTCATCCTCATTCCCAAACGGAATGAGGATCGAAGCAGAGGGCGGGGTAAAGAAGGGGGCGGGGCTTCACCACGTGACCGCCCCGCCCCCTAGAGGTTCTCTTCCGGAGCTCCGTACCTGAGAGCTCCCCCCCGACTAGAGCCCTGATCTTTTATATGCCTCCTCACTTGCTCAATACCACAAGAAGAAAAAACGGACAGAACTGACGCTAAATAAATTATTACCAAAATATATGGTATAGCCTCTATGAGCCAGCTTTGGAAAGACAGTGATTAGTTTCTTCTTGAATATATAACTGGTAGCCTGTTTGTAGTACATATTTCTGACCATTTGAACATTCAACAATTTTTAGAATTTGCTTTGGAGAACAGAAGCACTTTTGATGCAGTAATAGTAGTCCTCTTCTGAAGAAGATAACCAAATTGGGGGGCTTATATGGAATCCTTGTCTGGATCTTTGGATTGCTGGACTTCTGGATTGTTAAGAAATGGATTTTTACTTGTAAAACTGTATATTATGCATTGTAGAAGTTTTGAAGATTAATTTCTATATATTTTGCACATGCTGAAGGTTCTCTATTTTGATTTTGAATTAGTTCCTATAGAAACTGATAATACACATAGCTATATTTTGGTAATACTTTATTTAGTGCTGGTTCTGTCACAGTTTTTTCTTGTTATGGTATTGTCTTAGACTGTGATCCTTCTTGCATTTGCCCTCACTTGCTCAGGCAGTTGTCAGTAGCCTTTTCAATTGATCTGGGAAAGGATCTTCTTATGTGCATGAGAGAAGATTCCATAGGCGGGGGGAGAAAAACAAAGGTAGATGGATGAGGGGAGGACAAGGAAAAGGGTGCCCTTCCCGACTCATTCTTCTCCATGTCTAGTTTCAGAGGTGCGCTCCCCTTCTCACATGAGTAACCTGAATCGCTCGACATCATTGTGCTATCATGAGCGCTCCGATTCCATCTCCTCCACCTTCAGCGGCAGCAACAACCAGATCAGTTCCAGCGCCAACACCCAGTATCTCTCAGACTTCAGTGTTCGAGCCCTTATGGACCTGCAGTATATCAAGGTGAGACATACGAGAACGCCTCTCTGACCCACTTCTCACTGAGGTGGCAAAGCAACTGTACCACTTCGTTGTAGAGTGGGCTCCTTTGACTGAATGCCCCTCCAAAGAAAAGACCTTCCTGGCACGTGGAACTCTTCCATCTATAGTTTTTTGTGTGCAGATTTTTTAAAAAACGGATGAGTGTTCAGTCATGTGAGCACCCTACCTGCAGCCCAGATGGAGACTGACCATCTCAGAGAAAATGAAGCCTGAGATGAATGGAGCTCTCCACATACAGAAACAATCTGGAGCTTCTTGGGGTCTGATTCTGCCACTACTCTGTCACATGCTTCCCAAAAACACTGTCATGTATGAAAGGAAAATGGCTGGAAACGTAGTGGGCTGCATTGGTGGACGTGTACTGGGGAAGCTGGGATTGGCTTCCCAGATGGGGAAATATTGCATAAGTACCACATATATTATGAAGGAGGTGGTACACCCGGAGTGGCATAGTGGTTGGAGCTCAGGAAAGACCCAGGTTCAAATCCCAGCTGTTTCATGAAGCTGACTGGGTCGCCCTGTCTCAACTAAACCTGCTTCACAGGGTTATTTTGAGGATAAAATGGAAGGGCAGAGAATATATGCACCATCATGAACTTCCTAAAAGAAGGCCTAGATAGAAATATAAGAGAGAGATTGATGAGGTGTAATCCGAAGCAGAGTTACACCATTCTAAATCAATTGGAGTCAATTATGTAGATCCTTATTTATTCATTTAGATTTTTTATGCCCCACTTTATTTCCCAAGTTGGAGACCAAAGAGAGTTACAATATCATTCTCCCTTCCTCTATTTTATCTTTACTACAACAAGCCCATGAGGTAGGTTAGACTGAGAGATGGTGAATGACCTAGTGTCACTCAGCAAGCTTCCACAGCAGAGCACAGATTCGAACCAGGGTCTCCCAGATCTTTGTCCAGCACTCTAACCACTGCACTGCACTTGCTCAAGTGATGCAAAACGTGTGTGTGTCTGCATGTGAGAGGTGAATCTGCTTAATTTGTACAATGGATGTGGAGTGCCCAGTATTCTTGTCCTTGGTGCAATTGTTTTGTTGTTGTTCTGTTCATACACCTTTGAGCACACCGCAGTTATCTTTTGTCATTTCTCTACCCTGCAGATCACACGCCTTCAGTACCAAAACGGCCTCATGGCTTCCCGCTTGGAGAGCTGCCCCCAGTCTCCTGATGGCAGCCCCCCCCAATTGGACACCACCTTGCCCGCAAAGGAAACCCCAACGCCCAACGAAGTGATTAGCCTCTTGAATGAGAAGAACTGCCAGCATTCCAAGACGAACCACAGCTCTCCGGATGAAGTTGTCTGACCTCGGCCCTTTGGCGACCGGGTTTTGGCCAGCTCGCCCCAGTCCTTCCCTTCCAAAGACAGCAAAGTGGGGAGGGTGGGGGAAACACCCCAGTGCCCACGAGAGGATTTTGATCATGGAACTACAAATGTCAGGTAGTGGATGTAGCCAGGGAGAAAGGAAGGCAATTCCCCTGCAAATCTCAATGGCTTTTCTCTCGAAGGCACACACCCCTCCATTTTCTAGGCAGGAACGGGCTTGATAGGATAAGTACAGGCCAACTAGGAAAGGAAACTGCACAGTTGCCAATGAGAAGAATTAACAGGTTTTGGATGCTAAAGGGAATCCTGGCTTCTGGAGCACCAGAACCTGCATGACCCAGTCTGATCCAGTTTCACCCTGGCTCATGTTTGCCAAGTGAAGTTTCAGCGAGCGGAGGATTTCTAAAGGGAGCTTGCTTGCTGCTGGTTTTTTTTTTTCTATGCTGGCTTTTTATTTAAACAGACAAAAACAGAAATAAGGCGATCTCGTGGCTAGGCAGGCTCAGAAGGCAGCTATCCAGTTCCAGAGTTGGTCCATTTCTGGTTCCCTCTTCCACAGAGCACTCATGGGGGGAGGGGGTTGTTCCCTGTCTCTGTTTTAATAGCGAACAGGTACAGAGGCTGCACAGACAGACCTTGCCAGCCGGAGACGAGAGCCGTGACTGTGGGCTACCACGACACAAGCAGAAGTCTGCTGACAGGCAGGAATCGTCTGCCCATCTCAGGGAGTTCTGATTCTTGTATGTCGTTTGGGATTACGATCTTCTTCTTCTTCTCTCTTTTTTGTTCAGTTTTGTTTTGTTTGTGGGCATCATGTTGGAGAGACGTTGTGCAGGGGTTTGAAGATGGCTGAAAGTCCATCCCCCTCACCTGCCTTCATCGAGAGCACTGTTGCTGGCGAGTGTTATTTCTCAGCACACACTCAGTTCCAGGCTAGAATCATCACAAGGAATCATAACAAAGCTGGTCCAGATGAGCAGCAGGGGAGTGACTGAATTCTGAGGTGGCTGAGTGTACGGTTCCAGTTGTCCCTGCATGTTTTTGAACACACCACTGTAAAAAAAAAGCTCCTGGCACATAGAAAACTAGCACAGCAGGGAGTGGCCTGGGTGGAAACCTTTCCCCTGATAGGTACTTTTCTATATGCAGGGAGGATTTTTTAAGTGTGGAAGCATTTTTAAAAATATGGCCGATAGAAGCAGTCTATAATGTTGCAGCCCATTCTATCCCTGTTGGATTTTATTGTCTCATTCTGTTGCAGATGTAGACCGCACCAGAATAGGAATCCTCAGATTTTTAATTTCACAGTACTGTATAAGGTTCCTTGACGGATCTGATGTTAGTCCCAGAACTTGGGATGGGATACAATTCTGGGTAGCATTGGGCACATGAGGTTGCGTGCAGCATTGGGAATGTGGGCCGCAGCTTGTCATGTGCTTGTGGGGCAGATGGGGTGTCCAGTGCAGGACTTTTAACATCTTTTGGAGATGGCTTTGAATATATGGCCATAATTGTAATAAATGTGTTTGTTTCATCCCTATTATGTTGGGTTTGGATCTAAATTGATCTTATTTGTTTAGCCTAATGGAGACATTCTTCTGCAGCATCTCTGAAAACAGAGTGAATTTGTACAATCTTTATTTATGGTGGGAAAACGATGCTGTGTTACTCTGGATAAATTATTTGCCACATGGTGAAATCAAGTCACACCCACAGGAGTTGCTGGTAGTCAAGTATCATATGGTTATATCTCAGCAAAAACTTAGATGAATTCTGCATTCACATCCCTCGACTTGGTCATTGCTGTTAGTTTTTCATGAGAAGCTTCAGGCAGTATATAGATTTCTCTGTTATTAAAAGCCAGGAAATGGATTTGAGTCAGCAGGTAGTGGTCAACTGGCCCAAGGATTTTTTGTTCAGATCTAACATTTGTCCAGAGAGAGGGGGAGAATTTTAGGAGCGATTGCAGAAGGTTCTGGCCACATGGTACAAAGCCTGCTTTGTAAGAGCTGTTACAGAAATACATACCAGGTAGTAAGGTTGGCAGGTTGGTCCCCTCATACCTCTGGTGAATTGTCCAGTTGGTGTGTAAGAAGTGTGTGTATGTGTGTGTGTGTGTGTGTGTTCATCATTCATTTTACTAAACAAAAATTTATGGCAGTCTTGGATTGCCTCCATCACTTTAAAACATTGTGTCTGTCTTCACACACAGATCAAGTGCACTGATTCACTTCCATTTGTACCCATGTGTCTAAGCAAATGTTCTGACTCTACAAACAGATTCCAGGGGCAGAAGGAACTCAAAAGAGGAGAAAAGGCTTGTATTGGCACACATAACACACCTACTCAAGGTCACTTGCTGTCCTTCACTGGGGGCATTAATTCTGAGGTGTGTCTGCCTCAAGTACAATCAGAGAATTCATTCATTCCCAATTTTAGAGACATGACAGAATTACCTTTGCGTCTCTAGATGAGTTACTACTCAGGGCTCGCCTTCCAGTCAGGAGGCAAACTCAGAAGCAACACAGATATGTAGGCAATTCTTTATTTTTCACATTGTGTAAGAATGAATTTTCTTTCATCTTTTAGCCAAAGCTGGCCACTTGTGTCTTTCAACTGAGGGCAGCATCAAATTGAAGTCAGCTTTAACATAGCTAACTTGCAGTTTGTATGGTGAGGAAAAAATCTGATAATTGGTGTAGCATAATCAGAAGTCACGATAGAGAGAGAAACTCTGTAATGAAGAACTGTTTTCATCATTGCATTTTGCCGTGTACCAAACTGGGGGTTTGGAGAGAAATTGTGCACTTAAATGCGATGGATCATGTTTGTCCCTAGTGGAGGGGAGGGCTGTATTGATTTTATCCCCCATGATATCCCCCAAGTTATGGTCACAGCTGGGTGAGTGTATTTTCTTCCAGGTTATGGGGGGAACAGATTAATTGTACATTCGTGGAATGGATGCGTCACAACAGAGATGCTTTGAACACTGAGAAATTCCTAGTGGAAAACAGTTTTGTGTATAATGTGTAATACAGACGTTTTTATGCCTGTGATAGAAAATCTAAGTAGGACCCCTCCCCCGGCAGTAAAAGTACAACTAAATACTCCACTTTTGCTCTCCTTAGAAGTACCCCAAAATCTGCTCCTTGTTGTGGATCGCCTCATCCTGCTAAATGGTCGTGCTGGTGCCAGCCCATAAGTCAGTGTCTGTGGGAATTGTGTAGTGTTTGAAATAAACTTGAGACTCAAACAGATGAGGTGCATCTCAAAATGAAACAGTTTCCCAATTCCTTTTGTAGAACAAAACTCAGGACACTGGGATGCTGAGCATGGGCGGAAGAGCTCTAGGTTCAGATCCTAGTTATGTATAATGTGCTGAATGAATTCTCAGCATAGCTGTGGGCAAACCATTGTACTCTCATCACCCCAGTTCCCCATCCATAGAGTTAGAAATGGGGGTTGCCATAGTTTCATCCATTCTCTTTAGCTATTCCCTTAACTGTAGCTCGAATCACAGGCATCCATAACGTTTATCTCCATGTATCTGGTTTCTGCAGATAAAGTTACTATTGGAAGAACAATCATAGGCCAGACTGTCTTGTTAAGCTGGCAAACGTAAGGTCAGGTTATCTTCCTAGCTCAACAGATGGTGGTGAGAGAGAAAAAACCTACTGGGAGACAAGATTCTGAGGGAGTCTGTAGGCCTTTATTGGGTCAGCTCTAACCTGAACTGTCTGCCAAGAAGTATAACTGGGATTATCTCCCGACTAGCACTGTGACAGTGGCCCGGTCTACACATGCAGCAGAATGAGGTGGATAGAGATGGTAGAGCAGACTGGACCAATTCAGACTGCTGAAGCTCCCTAATTTGAAAAAATAGTGCCCACAAGTAGAAAGCTAGTATGGGGAGAGAAGCCAGAAGACACTGGGTTTATATTGTTCTCTGATGTACTGATATTTCCTTGCAGGGTGTTGCTGCTGCTGCTGTTTTAACATGAGGGGAAACGTTAAATATGTGGCCACCCCATCTGCAGTCTATGGTATATTATATTATGATTTTCCTGCCTCATTCTACTGTATATCTAGACCAGGCAGTCCACCTCGGAGGTCCAGGCCACTTCCAGCTTTCAAGACCCCTAAAAGGGTTGCCAGCCTCCAGGTGGGGCCTGGAAGTCTCCTAGAATTACAACTGGCATCCAGACAAAAGAGCTCCGGTCCCATTGAAAAAGTGGCTGCTTTGGAAGGTGGGCTGAATGGACATCTGGCCACTGGCGTCCTCCCCTCCCCAAACCTTTCCCAACCCAGAGCTGGCAACCCCACTCCTTATAGCCATAATAAAAAAATAAAACGGGTGGCTCATGAAAATAAAGCACTAAAAAGAGCGAAATGTAGCCCAGATTTTATATAACAAATCCTTTTCTAGCCTTTTTTTGAGGCCCCCTTTGAGCTTGAGGCCCAGGGCTAAGCCATCAGCATTTTCCTCCTTATTCTTAGAGCCTTCATTTGACTTAACAGAATCGTTTTTTGAAATGTTGGGTTTGTTGACAGCAATACTTGATCCTGGCAATTAAGGGGGAGGGCTATTCCATTACTGTGCAACCTTTTTAGAAAACTGTGCAGGAAACCACCTGCAGCCAGGGGACCGGCTTCCTCCTTCCTGTTTCCCCCCATCCCTGGACATTGATACCTTAATGAATCTTTGTGCTCTTTAAACAGCTGTAACTTAATTTGACTGTGCATGTGTTTCACAGCTTTTTGTCTGACTTAAATTTCTGTTTTGTGAGGGGGGTATTCTTGTTTGGGTTTTATTTCCCCCTTTTGGATTATTATTATTATTATTCCTAAGGAAAGCACAGTGGTTTCTGAACATTTTCCCCTTTGTGGGTGGACGTGATGTAATTTATTTTTTTTTCTGATTAAAAAAAAGAACACTAAACTGAAGATCCTAGCTCCCATGGGGAAAGAGATTCTTTTAAAAAAACAAAATAATTATGAAATAAATATTATCAAATCAAAGTGTGGTGGAAAATGTTGGTGATTATTTCAAAGCTTTTGAAGAAGAGGAAGGAAGAGGAAGAGAGAGCGGCTTACAAACTCCTTTCCCTTCCCCTCCCCACAACAGACACCCTGCGAGGTGGGTGGGGCTGAGAGAACTCTGACACAAACTGTTCTTTCAGGAACAGCTGTGCCAGAACTTGTGACTAACCCAAGGTCACATCAGCAGGTGCAAGTGGAGGAGTGGGGACTCAAACCTGGTTCTCCCAGATTAGAGTCCACACACTTAACCACTACACCAAACTGGTGTTAATTTCTGTGATCCTACACAAGCTGACTTGAAAGTGAGTTGCACTGAAATCAGTGAGATTTAAGGTTCGTGGGCACAATACGTTAGGGTTGCCAAGTCTTTTACTGTCCCCTGCAGCCCTGTATTTGAGGGCAGTGAATGTGCAGACCCTGAAAAGATTTACCTGCTGATTTACCTGCTGATTTCCAGGCCCTGAAAAGATTTACCTGCTGATTTCTGCCAGTCAAAATGCTCTTAAAGTCACAGGAGCAGAGTGGACTGCTCTATTTCTCTGCACTTGATCATACTGTTTTGTCTCCATTTTGCACTCCATTCGCCCCTATTTAACAGAGACCATCCTGTTTTTTCTGTTTTCTGTTCCCAATGAATCATTGTCTTGATTTTGGCTTTGGAAGAGATTTGTGGCTGTCCTTCTAAAACACTGTTACTCTTAACAGTTCAGTCCTAAATAGAGTTACACCCTTCTACGCCTGTTGACTTGAGTGGATTTACGCACTTCCAACACTGCTTAGGATTGCACTGTAAATCATTAGAGGTTGTCAAGTTGCCACCCTTTCCCTGGGCCTCTAGGACTGAAGGAGGACAGATGTCTCCAGGGCTTTTCTTGTAGAAAAAGCCCAGCAGGAACTCATTAGCATAATAGGCCACACCCAACAGCAGAAACTCATCATTGGCATATTAGGCCACACCCCCATGTTGCCACACCCACCTTTTGCTTCTTATTCTGTTTACCTTGTTTGTTGTCAAAACCCTGGGCTTTTTTTTGTAGCAGGAACTTCTTTGCATGTTAGGCCACACACCCCTAATGTAGCCAATCCTAATAAGTTTCTGCTGTTAGGTGTGGCCTATTATGCTAATGAATTCCTGCTGGGCGTGGCCAACTCAGGAGCCAGCCGGAACTCCATTC